TTTTCAACCATTTTCCTCATGTGATATGGGATACGCCTGTGGCGCTGGGCTACTGGGGGTACACTCTCGTCAATGTGCAACTTGACTTCAAAATTCTTAAGTTGCCCAATCCCGTTAAACACATTTGGGTATTTCTCAACCACATCACTACTTTCTAATACCACATTAACATATTGTTTAACCGCTACCAGTTTTAAATTCTGGCTAGCCCTATTGCTTAACAAGCATCCACATTGGCCTTCTACAACATAGAATGTGTCTGTGAAAGTAACATTATCATTAGTTTTACACAAGATAGTATCAGTGAAAATTCCTTTTACCTTAAGGGTTGTTCCACCATAAGCATGTACATTGTTTGTGTTAGTGTTTAACAACACACCACTGAATTTACTACTAAACGTACACTCATCAATAATGTTGCATGAAGCTGCAGTATCAGCAGTCATAACTAAACTAACGTTAGCATTTCTAAATACTATCTCAAACTTTGGACTAACAACATTATGAATAACTTTATCACTACTACTAACTGAAAAGACATATTCATCACTGCTAATGCTATCATTTCTATTGACATTAATATTGTCCTGATCATGTCCATAACAGCTTATTTCATGAGCTACCTTGGTCTGTCGGCAATACTTGGCAAAATGGTTCACTCTACCGCAGTCGTGACATTTCTTTCCAAAAGCTGGACAGGACTTTGGGCCTCTTGGGTGTGGATATGACCTACCGCAGCCAAAGCACTTTTTCCTTCCATAAACAGAACCGCTCCTAGCACTGTTTCCATTTCCTTTATTATTAGGGCGAAAAGTTTTACTGTTCTGTCTTTTGGTACTTACAGCATGGGCTCGATTTTCTGGATGAGACTGTGCTAGGCCTAAGCCTAAGTCCTTTTCCAAATCACTATTCTGGACCTGTGCTAGTTCATTTGACCTTCCAATTTGTAGAATTTCTGCTAGCGTAAGTCCGTCTTCCTTAAGGCCCTGTTTTCTCAACTTTGAGTCAGTAGTTGTTTGGATAATATGCGACTTCAGTTCTTGGTCAATACTTTGAATGTTACATGTACCGGCCGCCTTCCTTTGTCGGGTATGGTAGGAATCTAGTTTCTCGTCTGACTTCTGCCTAAGACGTCTAAATACAGCCCTCTCATATTCAATATTAACTTTAGGCCTAAAATGATTCGACAGAGCCACTTTGGCATGTGTGTAAGTAGTTCTAGTATCAGGTAGACTGTCAAATATTTCAAAGCAACGCGGCCCTACAGCATGTAGGAGCAATGCACGTTTTTGCGCGTCCGACGACACGGACAGGGCTAAGACATAATTCTCAAAACGCTTAATCCACGCTTCCCATTTTGGACCTACAGACGTGTCCAAAGACTCAGCGACAACATTGTCAAATGCAGCGACACAAGGGATATTTACTTTCGCCATTATCCCTCCTTCTAGCTATCTCTCGTCGCCAGATTTAGTGTTGTTTACATGGACAATCAACAACGATTCACACACGCCATGTCGTCTTGAACATAACTAATTTAATTCAATTCCTCCGCGCGTACGCGCGTGCATGAACGGCACATATCCCAAGTAGTACCATTTAGAAAGCTTGACTCATCAAAAGCAACCGGCCCAGACCGTCCTGCGCCACGAATTCTCAAGAATTGTTTGTGCTAATCAGCTATCCTGTGTTTTTTCTGATATTTTTAATCTTTGTTTTAAATCCTGCTCATTTCCAGATATTTGGAAGAAATCATGTATAATTCCGGTGCCAAAAAAGCCTTCTATAACGTGTACAAATGATTTGAGACCAGTAGCATTAACACCTGTTGTTATGAACGTATGTGAAAAAAATCATTCTCAAGTCTCTAACTCCATTAGTACAAGCTCACATTGATCCTTATCAATTTGCTTATAGATCTTCTAGGAGCACATCCGATGCAATTATACTTACACTTAATAAGATCTCACCTTGATCGTTCTAACAATGGCAGTCTGGCCCGAATTATGTTTTATGATTTCTCCTCCACATTCAATACCATCCAACCGCATATTTTAGTTGACAAAAAGATTAACATGGATATACTTTAGTGTTGTTTATATGGACAATCAACAACGATGCACACACGCCATGTCGTCTTGAACATAACTAATTTAATTCAATTCCTCCGCGCGTACATGAACGGCACATATCCCAAGTAGTACCATAGCACTACACTACATCTCCCCAAACTTTCAAAAGAGTTGGGATACGGAATTACAATAAAATTTTGAACCTGACATTGCATATGAATTAGGTGAACTATAAAAACGTGATTGTGACATACATACTATGTTATCATTCATGTGAAACTTTCCATAAAAACATTACGATAATTATTACTGAAGATGTGATTAAATGACTGTGTTTCCAATTAAAATGATGTTTTATATATCTGTTTTTGACTTCTTTTTTTCTTTTTTTTTTTATAATTATGAAAACATAACAATAACAATAACACCAGGGCTTTTACTGTACATTACTGTACAACAGTAATGCAAGACCCAAAACCAACAATAACAGTTGGCATACTGAAATGTCAACAATAAGTAGTACTTAATGATACAATGTACTGTAATACAATGAGTTGTACCATTAGACAGTACATGACTGCCACACCTGATTTACCAACCTGGTAAATCAACAGAAAAGTTTTCGAAGCGTTTAGGAACATTCCTAACCCTTTTAGGCGGAGGAGATCGAACGGGTATGACATGCTTGTGCTGGCACTGTCTGCAAGCAGATCGATCAAAATTCTCTGAACACTCAATAGACCGATTCAATTTCCTAACATGACTTATGTTTCTAGCCTTAACTTCTCTTCCACGACGAGCTGTAACCATAGAACCTTTTACACCAATTACTTGAAAAGGCTCAGGTTGGAATTTGGGGGAAAGTTTTGTAGATCGTGACATGTTCTTTAGCACAACTTTGACACCCACGTTTACACTTGACGACTTGATATTACGTTTTCCCTCGGCATAGACTTTCATTTTGTGTTTTGCTAACTTATCGCGTTCCCTAAATTCCATATCATTTTCTTCGACAGATACTTGGGGTAACTTAGTTTTCAATACCTGACCATTTAACACAGTAGCCGGTGCAACACCCGTCGAAGAGTGGGGTGTAGCCCTATAGTTCCTTAAGAACTTGTTTCCATGGCCTGCTTTTGGCTTGTGCGCATTTACAAAATTTTCCAATAGTTTTCATAAACCTTTCTGCGGCGCCGTTGGCCTCAGGCCAGTACGGAGTAACTTTTTGATGATGAAATCCTAAATAATTCGCAAAGCTTTTAAATTCTTCGCTTTGAAAGGGTGTTCCATTAT